GTACACGTACATGTAAGTGCAAATATGATGTAAGAAGAAGGAAATTCCACTAACAAACCACACACTTTCCATTGGCAAGCAGTCAACCAAAACATCCTCAGAAATAACCTCAACCACACCCACAAACACACCCACAATACCATATATGGAGCATACACCCAAAACAAGATGCTTTATCTCTTTCTCTCTCTCTCTCTCTCTTTCTCTTTCCTGGACTATTATTACATAATATAATTCAATTATTATAAAGGTAAAACAAATGATGAGTATTCATTACACTTAAACACACTTCAGTGTAATGTATAGGATTGTATGACCATATTTGTATATACATTATAGTTAAAGAATGCTAAAATGATGTTAACAAAACTAACAAAGTACATCATTATGCATACAGCATAGAATTGCTTATAGCCAGTAGTGACATACCTAGTAACAATACACAATCACACACACACTTACATAATACACATTCTCCCAAACCTCATAATTAATCATCAAAAATACCAAATAATAACACAGTATGTATATACATATAATATATATGAGGTACATATTCTATATACTTTCATACATAATTCACGCACATAATAGCCAGCAGGTTTGTTTAACGTTTAAGCAAAGCAATGGAAGTTATTATGATGATACATGTACAATGTACATGTAAATAAGCGAAAACAAATCTCTTTTATGCTTACTGCGCTACCTCAATCTCTTGTTCACGATTGCGGAGGTTTAGCTCTTGTAAATATGTTTATCAAGGGATTAGGAGTAACTGTACAGCTGCTAAAGGAATTCGATTAGGAGGAGATACTATGGCTCATAGGGACACATGTATACCACTTCCCCCCCCTCTCTCTCTCTAACCCTTTTCCTCTCACCCCCCCTCTCTCTCTCTATAGCAGTACATTATAGCCTAATGAAAATCATTATTAATAATTCACACATGTACCTATGTATACATTGACATGTTTTAGGTACATGAAAACATTGTTTTATTTGTTTTCAAGGGTTGAAACAAACCCCTCCTCTCATTCTCCTCTCCACAGTTCATACCCATGATATAAGAGGAGAGCTCATGAACTGCTTCTCCCTATCCATTACGAGAGGGTGTGTGTGGTGTCCTCAGAATTGATCCACTAAACCTCAGAGGGCGAGTGCAACCCGCAGGACAAGGAACTATACAAAACAATGCGACGTGGTCCTTGACAAATTAGACCGACCTTAGCCTCCTTCGGGGTGAAAGAAAGTCGAGAAAACTAGGAAAAGAAGTGAAGATAGTAAACGTGTTAAAGAATTACATTCATGGGTGTAGGTCAAGCTCACGTGATCACTAATTGATTTGATAAACCGATCACGCCTTCCTCAACCACGCCCCTTTTACAAAACAAGCAACATTTTCTGCAACAATAGCCCGAGAATAGCTCAAAACTAATGGCTGATATCGATGAAGACACTTCTCCTTTGATCCAGTCAGTGGAAGTACAAGAAAGTGATGAAGAGGAAGCAAGTGAAGGAGAAGGAACAGTAAAAGAACAGGGTAACATTAAGGCAGTCCTCACTCCTTCCAATAATAACAGAAGAAAAACTACCTCCGACTTTCCTTTCTCAGTTGAAGATAGAACCGCAAGTGTTAGCGTAAACATCCCAGCTAGACCCCCACGACATCACGTGACCCGCCCTCCTCCTAGCAAGCACCACAGACGAGCTCGCTGGATTGTGGGCATCTTAATAATCCTCATCTTGTTGGGGCTCGTTGCCGTGGCAATAGCGCTTGTCGTTACGGCAACCGCCCCTGGGGAGACGTGGTACAGAAAGAGTGTCATATACCAGTGCTACCCTCAGTCGTTCCAAGACAGTGATGGTGATGGGTTCGGTGACTTGGAGGGAATCAGGAGTAGGATCTCGTACTTTAAGGAGCTAGGTATTAGGGGGGTGTGGCTCAACCCGATATACCCCTCTCCCAAGAGAGACAACGGCTATGACATTTCTAATTATACAGATATTGATCCTGTGTACGGAAATATTGAAATTTTTAAACGGCTCCTGGCTGAACTCCACGAGAACGACATCCACTTAATACTGGACTTTGTACCCAATCACACTTCCGATGAGCACCCATGGTTTAAGGAGAGCAAGGCTAGCAAGACCAACTCAAAGAGAGACTGGTATGTTTGGGCTGATGGGGTAGCCCCTGGCTATCCTCCTAATAATTGGTTGAGTGTATTTGGTAATAGTTCGTGGAGTTACGATGAGACAACAGATCAATGGTATTATCATCAGTTCTCCTCCTACCAGCCCGACCTCAACTACAGTAACCCTCAAGTAAAGCAAGTCATGGAGGACGTCCTCAAGTTCTGGCTGGATCTCGGAGTGGACGGTTTCAGAGTTGATGCTGTGGAGTTTCTCCTCGAGGACCCACAACTACAGAATGAGACCCTCAACCCGTTATTCAACGAGAGTGAGTGCTCCTCTCCTCCTTGCTATGACTCGTTGGTTCACAATCTAACGACTAACTATCCTGGCATTCATGAACTCTGCCGGGACTGGAGGAAACTAGTCAATGGTTACTCTATACAGGATCGATCGGAGAAGATTCTAATTGGCGAGATTTACGATAACATAGAGACTGTCATGACATACTACGGGAACTCTTCCAATGAATTCACCTTCCCCTTTAATTTCTTTCTACTTGTTAATTCTGACTGGTCCGGCGTGAGGATTAACTGTATCGTTAAAAGCTGGCTAGACAGAATGCCAGGTGGTGCTACGGCGAATTGGGTCCTTGGTAATCACGATAACTCACGCATAGCAACAAAGGCTGGGCTCTTCCGAGCTAGAGCCCTCCTACTCCTTCTCCTAACCCTCCCAGGGACTCCTGTCACATATTATGGAGACGAGATACTCATGACGGATGTGTATGTGCCTTTGGATAAAAGGAACGATACTTTCGAAGGCAGAGACTCAGAGAGGACTCCGATGCAATGGAACACTAGCAATCACTCTGGCTTCACCTTCCCTAACGCTGAGCCATGGCTGCCACTAGCTACTAATTACTCTCTCTACAATGTAGAGGTCGAGAAGGATAACTCTACTTCAATGCTCTCTCTGTATAAGAAGCTCCTTCAGTTGCACAGCACCGAGGCTGCTTTCTACGAAGGAGAGTACATGTGTCTCGATGCCACAAAAGACCTCCTGGTGTATTTACGCTGGAAGGAAAGCGATGCCAATTATAAAGAGTATTACATTATTGTCATTAATTTCAGCGATCAAGACACCAATACTAAGATATCTATAGATTTTGCTAACACAGAGCTTGTGTTTAGCACATATCTTGACAGGTCTAATGTATCACTAAAAAGTATTTCACTGCGTAAAGGCGAAGGGGTCATTATAAGAGGCTATTTGTCTGATACCTGTAACAAGGCTGACCTATCAAGCAGTGCTAGCCCGTCCTGCAGTGCTGGTCCTTGTTTGTGAACTATATTGACTCTGTGTGTTACGTTTTTTATTATTAATTTTTGTAATTTATTTTAAATATATTTTGTGTTTGAATCAAATTTTTTTATAAAAGCCTTAAATTTTTGCTTGGTCCAGTAATTCATTGTCCTATAGCTCAATCAAATATGGAATAGAATCATGCATTATAGTCCTTGGTAAAATGTCATTCATTTAAAATAATTGCTTTGGAATTGTATTATAAAAAACTAAGTATTTGAATAGAAATCTCTCTCTCTTTGGCATGTTTAGCATGTAGCATTGAAGTTCAACAAAATTGACAGCTAAGAAGCTAATGAAAGTAGATAAATGAAGTGAAAATTATATAGCACCTCACCTTTAGTCAAGCTAAAATTATCAAATTCAGCTGGAAAATAACCAGAAGTACCAAAGCCCACAAAACCTTTACCATTCCCAACAGACACATTACTGGACAATGCAGTGCCATTAACTGATACAGTGGCTGAGCTGCCCTGCATTGATTGAATGAGCATATACATGCATACATATTATACTGCAATCACTAATGAACAATAAACTCACATTAACATCCATACTCAGTGTATACACAGTATCAGGTTTAGCAGAGAAACTACCACTAGCAACTTTCTTATCACCAGCTATAGAACATGATGCATAACTGATGTGAACATAATTGTCTCATACCAAGATCAGAAGATATGGTCCATGTTCCTGAAGTATCAATCCAAAAGAAGACTCCAACAGCTCTAGTTGTACCACAACCAACACCACTTACTCTTGCAGCAAGGAATGCAGCAGTGCTGGTATCACTAACATTAGGCAATAACACATCAATTGAAAGAGAGACAGTTTCCCTATAGTGACAAAGAAAGTAAAGAGCAATGACC